TCCAAGCCATTAGCTGGGAGATGGATTGGAAGTAGAGTAGTCATGACATGCATGGGCACCAGTATGGCATGCTGACATTGCAGGGAACAACTTAACCATGCCAGCCCCAGCAAACTTGTCACAGAAGTCAGCATAGCAATGGATACAGTACTATGGGAAGAAAAAGTGAGAAAGGTTTTATACTGGTAGACTTAAGCTGTAAATGTTGTAGGCAAATGTTTTTATTTTAGGCAAATGTTGTGTAAGAACTCAGGATACTGTTTCCAGCACTTTTTCTGAGGCTCAAACTAACCAATGAGAGGAATTATAAAACATTAAGTTTATGGTTAATTGTAATAGAGATAAGACTGAGCATTAAGAGTATGTTGGATATAATAGCTGTGTGCTCTGCCAGTCTAGATATGAGAGATCATGTTCAATAACTTTAGTAATCTTGTTTCTCTTCTGTTCTGTATATCATGACTTAAAGCCATTGAATGTGATTTTATTTTAAGGCTTATTTAATTGAAAGGTAGAGCTGTAGAGAGACACAGAGGTCTTCCACCTTCTGGTTCACTGGATCCACCTCTATCGCTGGATGCTCCTCACATGGCCACAAATGATATGCCAGGTTGGAGCCTGGAGTCTCCTCTGGTTCGCCCATGTGGTCTCAGGGGTCTAAACATTTGGGGTCTCCTGTGATGTTTTCCCAGGGACATTAGCAGGGAGCTAGATCAGAAATAGGGCAGCTGAGATACAAATTGATGCCTGTATATGGGATGCCAGTTCTGCAGGTGGTAGCTTAAGCCACCATGCCATAGCTCCAGCCTTTGAGCATGATTTTGTGTCCTTGAAAATCATAATCTGTTTAAATGAAATGAAATACAAATACATGGGACTGGCAGGCAAATCCTCTGTCTGCTGTGCTGGCATCCCAGCTATTCCACTTACAATCTTAGCACCCTAGTGATGGCTTGGAAAAACAGTGTAAGATGACCCAAAACCTTGGACCCCTGCACCCACATGAGACTCAGAAGTAGCTCCTGACCAACTCAGCTCTGGCCATTGCAGCCATTTGGGGAGTGAACCAGTGGATGCATGATTCTTTCTATCCCTCTCTCTCTTGCTTTAAGCCTTTCAAGTGAAATAAATACAAGGTAAAGATTCCATAAACGCTCTAAGATACTTTGTATTTGAATTGGAACTATCAGTAAGAAATTATGAGAAGTTTTATCTTTGGATACAGAGTTCACATCTTACATATTTTTTTATTTTATATGATATTGCAAAAGCGTATCTGTAAAGCCATTGTGTTTTCCATTTTTAATGTTTAATAAATGACATGTGATAGCATTTTATTGTAAAATAGGCTTTGTGTTAGATAATTTTATTCAAGCATAGGCTAGTTTAATTAAGTGTTCAAAGTACATTTTAGGTAGAGTAGGCTAAAATTGTGATCCTCAGTTGTTTATGTATTCCAAGTGCCTTGTTAGAAAAATTTTAAAACAGATTGTATTATTTATTGGAGTGGATGGAGAGAGCTTTTCCTCATCTGCTGATTGACTCCCATAAGGACCACAAGGCAAGTATGGGTCTGGTACCATTCTTACATCCAAGAATTCAGTTCTGGTCTCTCACATGGATAGCAGGATTTCAATTGCTTGAGCAATCACTAGTACCTACCAGCATGTACATTAACAGGAAGCTGGAGGTGGAAACTAGAGCCAGGTATTGTTTTGTTTTAAGATTCATTTATTTTCATTAGAAAGGCAATTTACAGAGAGAAGGAGGTAGAAAGATCTTGCATCTACTGGTCCACTCCCCAAGTGACTGCAGTGCCTGGAGCTTAGTTGATACAAAGCTAGGAGTGTCTTCTGGGTTTCCCACGCAGGAGCAGGGTCCCAAGTCTTTGAGTCATCCTCTACTACTTTCCCAGGCCACAAACAGGAGGTGGATGGGAAGTGGAGCAGCTGGGTCATTAGCTGGTGCCCATATGAGTTCCTGGCGTGTGTAAAGCAAGAATTTACCCACTGGGCCCTGGAGCCAGGTTTTGGATCCAGGTAATCAGACATGATAGGTAGATGTTTTAATCACTAGGCTAGTTGCTAGGCACTTAAATGCATTCTGAGTATATATTTCAAGACTTCTGTCCTGAACAGTACTTAAAGCTAAGGAATAGTCTCGTGGCAACAAGCAGCTAAGTGTCCATATTATGATTTTGAAATACTGCTGCTGGACAGGATTGATACAGGATGAACTTGGAGGGTTTTTGTTTGGTTTTGGGTTTTTTAATGATTTATTTGAAAGAGTGACAGTAAGTGGAAGAGAACTTCCTTCTGCTCATCAACTCCCTAAATGGTTGCAACAGCAAGCATCGGACTTGGCCAAAAATCAGGTTTCCCACACAGGTGGCAAAGGCCCAAGTACTTAGGCCTCCTCCTGCTGCCTTCCCAGGCACATTAGCTGGTAGGTGAATCAGAAAGGAAAGATGTCAGTGTCGAAAATGATGCCTTAACCTCCTGCACCGTGGAGCTCACCCTGAATGTTTTTATAATGCTGGATAGTAAAGAAGTAGTTAAGCACTACTTGATTTCATCACGAAATTCAGAAGCTAAATAGAAAAAGGGTTCCCACTGTCCAAACATGGGACCTTTTATGTGTCCATTAAAGGTAACTGCAAAGGTTTAAATTCACAGTGAGGCCCGCCTCACCTTAAGGAAAGCTTGTGCCCTATCTTCTATAGAAACTCAACCATGCAATTGGGCTTATACTAACAAGGTGCAAACTCTGAAACTGGAAGCTTGTCTTGTGTCGTATTAGTTAATAGTTTGTCAGCTTAATAAACAAGAAACAAATGCAGATGATGTGATTACTAATGGAAGAACACAAAACTATCAAGAAATTGCCTTGTTAAAATAAAAAGAAGAGATTATATAGCTCCTTGAACCATAGCACAGTTTATAGGAAGTAAAGGGGTATAAGATTCTTTTAAAGTAGCATGTGGATTAAGTGGATGACCTGTAGATTGCAAGGCATACACTTGGATAATGAAAACAGATTGTCACTGTATGTAAGAATAAGGGTTATTTTAGAAGGAGGCAATTTAATTTTTTTTCCTTATAGAGTTAGTAAAGTCCTTGACTTGGCCAATAATTATTACATAATTGTTTTCCCATTAATTGATTTGTTTTATGTAATTTTTGTTTATATTTTACTGATTATTTAAAATTTTTTTTTTCCCTTGGAAAGTCAGATATACAGAGAGGAGGAAAGACAGAGGAAAATCTTCTGTCTTGATTAACTCCCCAAGTGGCTGCAATGGCCAGAGCTGAGCCAATCCAAAGCCAGGATCCCTGAGCCTCTTCAGGTCTCCCACACTGGTGCAGGGTCCCAAAGGTTTGGGGCCATCCTCGACTGCTTTCCCAAGCCACAAGCAGGGAGCTGGCTGGGAAACGAGGCCTGCCAGGATTAGAACTGGAGCCCATATGGGATTCCGGTGTTTTCAAGGCAAGGATTTTAGCCGGTAGGCTACTGCACTGTGTCATATATTTTACTATTTAAATGTTTGTTCAAAATCAATGGGAAGAGACTAAAGGCATTACTTAAATAGGTTCAGTATCTCTGTTAACCTTCAAATGTGATCAGGAATGTGTAGCTTAATATTATCCAACCACAACTGTTACCAGAACTCTTCTATGCAGAGAACTGTGTTTATCCTTCTCTTATATTGTCACTGTTTTGTTCCTTTACATAGTGAATTGGTAGTTGGATTTGCATCTATGTTTGTTGTATTATTTTGGTTTTCACCAGAACTGACTGGTTCAACGTAAGTGCCCACTCCAACAGATGAAAATTCGGAATCATTGTGTGTAATCTGGGTGTCTTAGCCTTTCTCAACGGTCTCCCAGCAGTTGTGTTGGAGAAATTGTTTCCTACTTTGTTACCAGACAAGCTTCATCAGTGTCATCTTCATACTCCCTCAGTAATTATGAAGTCCAGTCTTGCTCTTAACTCTTCTCCATCCTTCTCATCTCTTCTTCCTGTTGCATTTATTATTCTTCTGGACTGTGGAATTGATCTCCTATTGGAATCTTAGTTGATCTTTAAATCCCTCAGATCTGCCCTTCAAGCTGCTACCACAGTGACTATTGTAAGTAAATGATTGTATCATGTTAACTGCATGAAAGATGGATCTTTACCTAAAGAATAAAATGTAATCTCCCTGAAGTTCTTCCTGAAGCTGGCTCTGGCTCTGGCTCTTAGCTATTTTGCCAGACATTTCCCTCTCCCCCACCCCCCCACACAAAGTACTCTTTTCCCTAATATGAATCATGTTGAATTGTTTGAAGATTTGTGAATTATCTGTTGTCAGGCTTACCTGTCTTGGTGGTCATGTTTAGCCTTCTGTTATCAAATCACCTGTTTTCCAGCTTTGAAATGTCATCTTTAAGGATTCTTCTTAGTTGTCATCTATGACGAACCGTTTCTGATAGCATCTCTCTGAAGTGGAGTTGCACATTCCTCCTCCAGGACACCTTCTTCTTTAATGTGAATTGTTTTTGTAGGCCCTATAATCTTTGTACACTGTGACCTTTGTGATAATTTTGCTTGTGTATCTTTAATAGTCGGTGACACGTGGTCTGCCTCTGCCAATACTACTTTTTAACAGACTAGATTATCCTGCTGAGATTTGAGAAAATCCTCATTCAGCTTTCTCCACCCTGCCCCCTTATTTGGCATATATATCCTTCAGAAATGTGGGAAGTAGCACATATATTCTGTTTTTTAAACTATTTTAAATCCCTCTTATGTCAAAGGAATTGAAACTCAAGAGAGGATAAAGTCAACATTATACCTATTGATTTTGCATTTCAGCATCTCCTGCTTAATTGTGAATAGTGTGAATTAGAAAGTGCCACTAGTAGGTAATTGTTGATAGGTTCCATGGTGATGGCTACTCTGTGAAAAGTGCCAAAATGATCAGCTTACTGTGTCAACCATTCATATCCCTTTTTTCCTAGCCTTCTTTGAATCCAGAAGCTGGCAAACAGAATCAGCCATGCAGACCTATTGGGACCCTTTCTGGAGTGTGGGGTAGGTAGATTTTGCCATTTTAAGGGCACAACTTTTTTTCTTAACAAGAAGAGAAGCAAAAATTCTTACCTCTTTTCTTTATCTCTTGTTTCATTTCATCAGCTTGCCATAGTAACTGAAATCTATTAGTACTTCACTGATTTAAGTGTTCACAAATACAACAAGTCACTCTGTGTCTCCAGTCACCACTAATGAGTAATAACGATAGTGGAGTCAGAATAGATATTTGAGAGCCTGTAGAGCCCTGTATGTGGAAGCAGGTTTAAAGTAAAAAAATAATATAAAGTTCACTAAAAAGTGGCATTTTAATTAATACTGCTAATTCACTTAGAATAATTTTATGTGTTAATGATCACTCCCAAATATATTAAGGATATATGTAATAATATTCCCTAAGCTTTCCTCTATATTACTAACACTTTACAACAGTGTCCTTTGAAAAGTCATCTTATCCATTATGTTGTTCCATTAGGTTCTGATTTTTTTTTCTTTAAATTTTTTGACATTTGTAAGTGATGACTTGTGTGGGACAAGGGGGAAACATTAATACAGACATGTTTATGTGCATGATGAGAACAAACAGACTTATATAAAATTAACAGATAGGAATCTGTATTAAAACCAAACCTGGTGTTCGACAGTAAAAATGAATATTACGTGTGTTTGGTACTCAGCATCTTATTCAGAAGGCTTTAACAATGTTGGTTTTGAATTCAGTGTTACACAGTTAAAAGTAATTGCTATGTCTTCTCATCTTTGTCAATCATATAAGCTTTCGTTATTGTGCCATGATAGCCTCCCTCCATTTCCCTTTTGACAAGGAGCTGCTGCCAAGGGATATAGACTTGTTCCATGTGGTCAGTCTGTGCTGTAGATACCTGTGCCTCTGAAGGCCTGCTGCCGTCTTTGGGGTTTTTTTTGTTTGTTTTTGTTTTTGCTTTTTTTGGCTGTGATTTATAGATGTAATAATCATTGCTTCTCAGCCTTTTGACTTAAGGTAAGTGCAGATTTAATAGACAAATATTTCATATGCTGCCCTTTTTTTTCAATGTCAGTTTTGAGTGTATTTAAGCACATACCAGACATATTTGTCCCTCTGAACTTTTAACTTGTTGTAGATTGTGCACCACATTACTCAACAGATTTGATATATTCTTTTGTATCTCCGCTATTGTATTTCACAGAAAACCCACCTAGTGCCAAGCAATCTTCCAAGATGTTAGTCATCAAAAAAGTTTCCAAAGAGGATCCTGCTGCTGCGTTCTCTGCTGCGTTCACCTCCGCAGGATCTCACCATGCAAATGGGAACAAAGCATCAACCATGGTTCCAAGTGTCTATAAGAACTTGGTTCCTAAGCCTGCGCCACCTCCTTCCAAGGTATGATTTGAAATCCTCATGAGAACCCTGTTAAACAGAGACTTGTCATTTGTGGTGTTGTTGTTGTTTGCCTATCCAGTCATTCACCACATGTTCTTTCAGTACCTGTTGATTGTATAGAATTGAACTCTGCTTGCACTCTCTTGCCACTAGCTGGATTGTTAGCCTGCCTCTCTATTCATTAACTTCACCTCATAAACCTGCTCTTCCTGTTTTACTATTTCCTTTAATAGCATCAGCATTAGTCCAACTGCCCAGCTGAACACTTTGGCTGCTTTTTTTATTCTTACTACTCATTCCCTTCAGCTGAGCAATTACAATGTCCCTGTCAGTTACTGCTTCACTGCTGCCCTTAATCGGGTTTCCATCTGACATTCACTGTTGTCGTGTACCCTTCTATTTTCTCATCTCTGAGTACCCATTTTCCACAGAAATACCAGAAAGATCTTCCTAAAGCATTTGATCATATCCTTTCCTAAATTTTCAGTGGCTCCAAACTATTTATGGAAGGAGTTGATAAATTATTTCTGTAGAGGGCCAGATAATATCTTAGTCTTTCCTGGTTACAAAAGGGTTTTGTTTTGGTGGGTTTTTGTTTTTGTTTGTTTGTTGTTTTGTGTATTGCATATATTCTTTACGCTTTAAAAAAAATTAATTTGGTAGCACAACAGAGATTTTGCATCTAGTGATCCAGTCCCCAAATGATTGCAACAGCTAGGACACATACCAGGAGCTGGGAACTTCAGCCTATTTTTCCACATGCCAGGGTACTTATGTCCCTGCCATTTTCTTCTACCTTCTTTGGTGTATTACCAAATACACAGAAAGAGAGTGACATGGACTTGGGCCAGCTTAGTAATAGACTTGAGGTATAGCTTAAGTTACTATACAACAGTGACTCTAGGAGCCGCTTAAAAACTGCCTCAAGGGGCCATCATTACACATGGGCTCCTGTTTCAGTTCTGGCTGCTCTGCTTCCCGTCCAGCTACCTGCTTATAGCTTGGGAAAGCAGCAGAGGATGGCCCAGGTCCTTGGGACACTGCACCCACATAGGAGACCCAGAAGAAGTTCCTGACCCCTGGCTTTGGATCAGCACAGTTCTTACTGTAGTGGCCATTTGTGGAGTGAACCAGCAGACGAAACATCTTTCTGTATTTCCTACTCTCTGTAAATCTGCCTTTCCAATAAAAATAAGATATTACCTTTATTATTTTGTTAAAGCTTCCCAACCACTTAAAATGACTGCATCCCATTAAGAGTATGTGGTTTAAGTCTTTGCTACTCTGTTTCTAGTCTAGCTTCCTGCTGATACACACCCTGTGAGGCATCAGGCGATGGTTGGAGTGGTTGGGTACCTGCCACCCATATGGAAGACTGGTTGATGCCAGATGCATGGCTTAGGCGTGGCCAAGTTGTGGCTCTTATTGAACCTTTAGTTTACATTTGGCCCATGAGCTGTATTTTATTTGAAAACAAGACTACAGAGGGAAAGGCAGAGAGAGATTCTGTCCACTGATTCACTCCCCAAATGGTCCAGCAGCCAGGAATGAGCCTGTCAAGAGCCAAAAGCTTCTTCTGGCTCTCTCACATGGGTACTTGGGCCATTTTCCACTGCTTTCCCAGGCACATTAACAGGGAGCCAGACTGGAGGTTGAGTATTTGGCAATCGTGTGGGGTGCTAGCCCCTATCTCAACTATTTAACATGGTAGCTGTAATTCTTAGCTGAACTGTATTTTTTGCATCCTGTGTTTTTTGTCTTGAAAGTTATTCTTCAGATTCATTCATCCTTTTTGTGAATGCTCTTCTGTCGCATCTAATCGTTCAAAGATTTTTCTGCCACTTTTCCTTTTTTAAAAAAATTTTTATTTCTTAAAATATTTATTTATTTTTACTGGAAAATAAGATACACAGAGAGAAGGAGAGACAGAAAGATCTACTATCTGCTGACTCAATCCCCAAGTCACTGCAGTGGGTGGAACGGAGCCAATCTGAGGCCAGGAGCCAGGAGCTGCGTTTTTGCATGAGTCACTTGATTGTAACCTTTTCAAGGGCAGACTGCAAACTTCTTTTTGTATTTATATAATCTAGTACTCTTATGTCAGCATATCATAGTATTTTCACAAATTCCAGGTAGGGTAAAGAAACAATTAGGATGCACTTTTTAGGGCCAGGATCATGGTGCAACCCGTTAAACTGCCTCTTGTGACACTGACATCCAATATCAAAGTGCAGTTTCAAGTCATGGCTGCTCTGCTTCCTGTCTAGCTTCTTACTAATGTGCTGTGGAAGGCGGTGGAAGATGGCTTGAGTGCTTTGATACTGGTGATTCCTGTGGGAGACTGCAGTGGACTTCCAGGCTCGTGGCTTCACTTAGCCCAACCCTAGCCATTTAGGGAGTGACCAACAGATGCAGGGTCTGTGTGCATGTATCTGTCCCCTTTCTGCCTTTCAAATAAATAAGTCATTTTTATTGAAAGATTTATTTTTATTATTTTTTTTATTGGAAAGGTGGGTATACAGAGAGGAGAGACAGAGAGGAAGATCTTCCGTCCGATGATTCACTCCCCAAGTGAGCGCAACGGCCGATGCTATGCCGATCTGAAGCCAGGAGCCTCTTCCGGGTCTCCCACGCGGGTGCAGGGTCCCAAAGCTTCGGGCCGTCCCCGACTGCTTTCCCGGGCCACAGGCAGGGAGCTGGAAGGGAAGCGGGGCTGCTGGGATAGAACCGGCGCCCATATGGGATCCCAGGCGTGCAAGGCGAGGACTTAACCACTGTGCCACCGCGCCGAGCCCGAATAAGTCATTTTTAAGAAAAAAAAAATATTGTTTAACATTAGGAGAAAAACCAGTAAGCGTTAATCCACATTCCATTGTTTGCAAGCTTTGTATTCGGTGTTTGTATCTGAATACAAATAAGATTATGACTCTCTGTGAAATAACAATTTAGTTGGAATAATGGAATATGTAGAAGATACATCTGGTGTGTAATGTCAGTTTCAAATCATAATGAGATGATAAAGAGATTTGAGTACTCTTAAGTTTGCTTTATTTTTATATAGTTGCACACTATGCTTATTAGGGAAAGCTTTATCAAAAAAATATGATTTGAACTGATTTTGGAGGCTGATTTATTTTTTTTTTTTTAAGATTTGTTTTTATTGAAAAGGCAGATTTACAAGAAGAGGGAGATACAGTAAAATTTCTTTAATCTACTGGTTCACTCTCCAAGTGGCTGTAGTGCCTGGACTTGAGGCTTTCCAAAACCAGGAGCCTGGAACCTGGAGTTTGTTCTGGGTCTCCCATGTTCGCACACAGTCCCAGGACATAAGCAGGGAGTCAAGCAGCTGAGATATGTACCAGCGCCTGGATAAAATCCTGGCTTGTGTGGCATGGGAGGGCAGTGGAGGATGGCCAAGGCCTTGGGACCTTGTACCTACATGGATAGACCCAGAAGAAGCTCCTGGCTTCGGATCAGCTCAGCTCTGGCCATTGCAGCCACTTGGAGAGTGAAGCAGTTGACAGATCTTTCTCTCTGTTTGTTCTTCTCTCTGAAAGTCTGCCTTTCCAAGAAAAATAAATATTTTTTTCAAATGAGTGAAATTAGTTTTGCAGGTATATTGAATATGATTACTAACATACTCTAGTTACTCAAAAGTTTAAAAAGAGTAAGAATTTTTTTAAACAGCAAGTAAAAGCAAGTGGAGCATTCTTGGCAGGACAAACTTACTTTACCCCAGAATGTAGGTGGAATACATGAGTGTTTCATTGTAGCTGATTGGGAAAGTCAGACTACTGGTGGCTTTTGTAAAAGCTCGGGGAGAAGGTAAAGTGTAGGAAGAGAGATTTACATACTGTCTGCATGTAGATTTTCTAATATAATTTGGCATATTATAGCATAAATGGCACTGAAGCTAGGACACTGTAGAATGGCTCCATCTAATGTAGAACCTGTTTCATACCACCAAATCCCACACTGAAATACCTTCCGGTAAGTCCCAACTCTGACCCAGATAAGGCTTCCTGTTAATGCATGCCCAGTCAGGCAGTAGGTAATGTTCCCTGCCACCCATATGGGAGACCTAGAGTGAATTATCTGACGCTCCCCACACAGTTATTGCAACAATGTGAGATTTGAACCAGTGGATTACAATATGTATTCATTTTCCCTTCCTCTGTACCTTTCAGACAAAGAAGGGAAAAGGAGCCAATTCAAGGAGAAAAGTGATAGTCAATCTCTTGACAAACAAGTCAGGTTTTTAAGAGCTGGCCTTTGAATGTGATATGAATATGAGACTTTTTATGACTTTAAAAAGCTATTATGGGGCCCGGCGCGGTGGCGCAAGTGGTTAAGTCCTCGCCTTGCACGCCCGGGATCCCATATGGGCGCCGGTTCTAATCCCGGCAGCCCCGCTTCCCTTCCAGCCCCCTGCCTGTGGCCTGGGAAAGCAGTTGAGGACGGCCCAAAGCTTTGGGACCCTGCACCCGCGTGGGAGACCCGGAAGAGGCTCCTGGCTTCGGATCGGCATAGTATCGGCCCGTTGCGGCTCACTTGGGGAGTGAATCATCGGATGGAAGATCTTCCTCTCTGTCTCTCCTCTCTGTATATCCGCCTTTCCAATAAAAAATAATAAAAATAAATCTTTCAATAAAAAGCTATTATGCAAACAGGAGTGGAGATAAGTATTAAAGGAAACTAAGTAAGCCATAATGAGCCATTTAGAAATAGCTGTTACTGACTTTAAAAGACTGACAGTAAGAAGAACCCTGGTAGGGTCAGTTCAACAAGCTAATCCTCTGTCTTCTAGTGCTGTTGTGCCATGTGGACACTGGTTCATGGCTTGGCTACTTCCCTTCCCATCCAGCTTTCTGTTTGTGGCCCGTGAAAAGAATAGAAAATGGCTGTAAGGCTTTGAAAGCTGCACCTGCGTGTGAGACCCAAAGGAGGCTCCTGACTTTTGGCTCCTGTCTCCTAGCTTTGGATTGGCTCTTGGGGAGTGAATCGGCAAGTGGAAAAACTTTCTCTCTGTTGCTCCTTCTCTCTGCTTATCTACCTTTCCAATAAAAATAAAATAAATCTTTTTATTTTTTGTTTATTTTTATTACAAAGTCAAATATATATAGAGAGAAGAAGAGACAGAAAGGAGGATCTTCTGTCCGATGATTCACTCCCCAAGTGACTGCAACAGCCAGAGCTGCATTGATCCGAAGCCCAATCTTCCAGGTCTCCCACTTGGGTGCAGGGTCTCAGGGCTTTGGGCCATCCTCAACTGCTTTCCCAGTCCACAAGCAAGGAGCTGGATGGGAAGTGGGGCTGCCAGGATTAGAACCGGTGCCCATATGGGATCCTAGCGTGTTCAAGATCAGAACTGAGAACTTTTACCCGTTAGGACACTGTGCTGGATCCATATCTTTTATTTGTTTGTTTTTAAGAGACAGAAAAACTATCCAACATGTTTTGCATACATAACCAATATAGTGAGGCATAATGATTTTCTCACTGGGAAGCCCATTATGACCCCTGTGGCTGAAGCTCAGGTTGGAGGTGACAGTGATAATCTACTGCAAGGAGGCCATGTGACTGCAAAGTCTGATTGGGTCATTATATTTTTAAGTTGCTTGTATTATTCTTTTTGGAGGTATTATAGGATGGCAAAAAGTCAGTGTCATATAGTAGCAGAGTAATCTTAAACAAGTTATGAAAAACTTTATCACTCTCTTTCATAAAAATATCTTAGTCAAACCTAATGGATTCAAGAATTGAACCTTGGGGGCTAGTGTATTGACATAGCAGCAGGTAAATACACTGGCATTCCATATGGGTGCTGATTGATGTCCCAGCTGTTCATTTCCAATCCAACTCTCTGCTGCTGGCCTCAGAAAAGCAGTAGAACATGCCACAAGTACTTAGATCTCTGCATACACATCCTGCCTCCTGATCTGGCTTCGCCTGCCCATAGCTGTTCTAGTCATCTGGGTAATGAACCAGCCAATAGAAGATTTTTCCATTTATCCCTCTTTGTTATGCTAAAATAAATGTGTGTGTGTGTTAACTTGTTTTCTTGATTTACTTGAAAGACAAAGATCTTGCATCTACTGCTTTAGTCCTGAAAAGCACACAGCAAATGGAGCCATGTCAGGTCAAAGCTAAGAATTGGGAACCTCAGTCCAGGTTCTTTTGTGTAGGCAGCAAGGACCAAGACAGTTAAGCCAATGCCTGCTGCCTCCCAGGGTGCACATCAGCAGGAAGCTATAACAAGAACTGAGACTCACATCAGGCATACTTAGAGCGAGATTTAATTCTTAGAGTAGGTGGTTGCAGTGGTGAAGACACTGATTGGGATGCCTGTGTTTCCAGATCAAAGTGCCTGGTTAGTGACCAGTTACCCTGCTGCCTGTCCACTGTGCTCAGATCCTTCCTTTGTCCTGAGGAGTTTCTTGGTTTTGATTGTTTCATTCTGGGACAGGGATGGGACTTTGTTTCAGCACACCTCTGTTTACATCCCTTGTCTTTCTTGATCTCTTTAGATGCTGCTGTTGATTCAGAAAAAAACATGGTCCTTTAGCTAGGGTTATTACCAGAGTGACAGATTATGCTGCCACTCAAGAAAACTGAATATGAGAAGGCTCTTTGAACTAAACCAGCCATTGTCCAACATTTGCAATTTCACTGAGTGGAACGTATTGTCTTGCAAGTTCCTAGAATACAGCATTTTCTGATATGCTGTATTCTTCTTTATTATATTGTTATATTTGTTGGAAAGGCAGATTTACAAAGAGAAGGCGAGACAGAGAGAAAGATCTAACTTCTGCTGTCTTACTCCTACTCCCCAAATGGCACAACAGCTGGAACTGAGCCAATCCAGAGTCAGGAGTCTCCTCCAGGTCTCCCTCATGGGTACAGGAGCCCAAGACTTTGGGCCATCCTCCATTGTTCTCTAAGACCACAAACAGGTAGCTGTGTGGGAGGTGGAGCAGCATGGGCACCAACTGGCGTCCATATAGGATCCTGGTGATTGCGAGAGGAGGATTAACTGATTGAGTCCTAGTGCCAGGCCAAGAGCTGTCTTCTTGAGTAATGCCTACTAGCCACCCTCGACTGTTGTCCATCTGCCTTTTTACTTTAAGTAATTGACCTCAGATATAGATTACATACCCCCATACTAAGACAGATAACCTCTGGGAACCTATGTTTCCATGTATCATTTTTTGTTTGTGTACTTGTTTTGATGGGTTTTTTTGCTTCTTCCTCTGTAGCCCAATGCATGGAAATCTAACAGAATGGAACACAGGTCGGGCTCCCTTTCCTCTAACCGGGAGTCTGCTTTCACCAGTCCTGTCTCTGTTACTAAGCCAGTGGTACTGGCTGGTGCTGCACTTCTAAACTCTCCCAAAGAGGTAAGTGAGGATAAAACTGGGCAACCTTTTTTAAAGTCACTATGTTCTGTTAGACTAATTCATGCAGTGTGACAGGTGTAGCTGTAATAGCCCTTCTTCCAGCTGTTTTTAACTGAATGCTTCCCATTAACACCAGAAGAGGAGCGTGGCTGTTGTGGAGATAGATGCTTTTTGGTAGACTAAGGTTGGCCTATGTTACAGTGATATTTTACTGGTGTTTGTAGAACAGTCCAAGGGATACTGTATAAGCCAACCTGTTTGAACTGTAAAAATTCTGCAAAGCTGGTGTCTGCTTAAACAAAAGGATTAAGTGATAGGCAGCCAGATTCTGGAAAATGGTGCCATTTAGAAATGACCTAGAGACCTCAGTTTTGCTCTTTACTGACTGGGTCAACCTGTTTGTTTATTTGCCCAGAGTCCCTCCAGCACCACTCCTCCAATTGAGATCAGCTCCTCTCGTCTGACCAAGTTGACCCGCCGAACCACTGACAGGAAGAGTGAGTTCCTGAAGACTCTAAAGGATGACCGGAATGGAGACTTCTCAGAGAACAGAGACTGTGACAAACCTGAGGGTGTAAGAGCATTGTTTTTCTGGGGCAGCATAGGTATTTTCCTTTGCAACTTGTGTGCTTTTCTTCTTCCTAAGTGAGAAAGATGAAGCTAAATTTTAAAATACGTAGAAACACACTGTCTATAGGAGAAAGAGCCTTTGAAGCGAGTTTAATCCCTTTGTTTACCAATAATTTCAGGTTAGGGTATTTTCACTTATTTGGAGATCAAAGAGAGTGATCTTCCCCAAATGCCTAAGAGCCAGGGCAAAGACGTGAGAATTCATCCCAGTCTCTGACAGGAGTAGCAGAAACCAAATGACATGGGCTTTCTCTGTTGTCTCCCAGGAGCATTAGCCGGAAGCTAGATTGGAGCAGAGTAGCAGATGCTTCATTCCAAGAACTCCTGCATGGAATGCAGGCATCCTGAGTGTTGACTGAACTAGCCCAAGTGTTGACTTAAACCATTGTGCCACAATGCCACCTCCTAGTTTGTTTTATGTTTTTTGTCTTTTCTTATAGATGGTTCAGGGCATGGTTTTATTTTTTCTAAGATTTATTTTTTTTGGGGGGGAAGGCAGATTTACAGAGCAGGAGAGACAGATAGCTCTTTTGTCCACTGGTTCACTCCCCATGTGAATGGCCAGAGCTTAGCCAGTTTGAACCCAGGAGCCAGGAGCTTTCTCCAAGACCAAGCAGGTGCAGGGTCCCAAGGCTTTAGGCCATCCTCTACTGCTTTTCCAGACCACAAAAGTGCTGAATGAAAAGCGGGGGTGCTGAAATACGAACCAGTGGCCACATGAGATCCCAGCACATGCAAGCCATTGTGCTGGGCCCTCAAGTTTATTTCAGTGATCCCTACTGAAGGGAATTTTGATTGTTTCCACATTTTGGCCATCATGAAGAAAACAGTTTTGAACACTCATGTGCAGGATTTTTGGTGGACATGAATTATGAGGTCCTTTAAGTAAAAATCAAGGAGCACAAATTGTTGGATTCATATGGCAGAGTATGTGGTTAATTTTGTATGAGATTGACAGACTGTTGTCTAAAATGGCCATTCCATTTTACATTCCCTCCAGCAATGAATGGAAATTCCTGTTGCTCCATATGTCAATATTTGATGTTGTCAGTGTTCTGGATTTTGGTCCTTATGATAGGTGTATAGTGGTATCATTGTTTTGATGACTTTTGCTGGAGGATATATGAGGAAGAAATTACTTTCATGCTTATTTGGTGATATGTTTATTAAGGTATGTTGCACATTTTTACATTGCTTATTTTCTTAGTTTAAGAATTCATATATCTTGGATAATAGTCTTTTAATCAGATTTTGTCTTATCTACAAAGATATTCAAGACCATCTGTTTTCCCCTTTGTTACCTTTGAAGTTTTATGGTTTTTGCCTTTTAAATTTATGTCTGACAATTTTATTATTTTTGTAGAGTGGAAAGTCTGTTTAGATGGATTTTTTTTTAAAAGATTTATTTATTTTCATTACAAAGTCAGATATATAGATTGGAGAGACAGAGAGGAAGATCTTCCATCCAATGATTCACTCCCCAAGTGAGCGCAACGGCCGATACTAGGCCGATACTATGCCGATCCGAAGCCAGAATCCAGGAACTTCTTCTGGGTGTCTCACACGGGTGCAGGGTCCCAAAGCCTTGGGCCATCCTCGACTGCTTTTCCCAGGCCACAAGCAGGGAGCTGGACGGGAAGTGGGGCTGCTGGGATTAGAACTGGCGCCCATATGGGATCCCAGCATGTTCAAGGCGAGGACTTAAGCCGCTAGGCCACGCCGCCGGGCCCAAGATGGATATTTTTTGCATGTTCCACATCATTTGTTCAAACACCCATCTTTTCTGCCTTTTACTGTTTGCCGCCTAGTCAAGGTCAGACCATGTGAGGCTGTTTCTGGACTCCTCTGTTCAGTGAAATATTTGTCTTTTTGTCAATTCCACAGTATTAATCACTTTACTTTTATGGCAAGTCTTATATTCTCTGTCCTGGGTCTTTTGCCTCTCCATATAAACTTTAAAATCATTTGGTTGACAAAACAGATCCTCAGTTTTTAAGTGAGGCTGTCTTCTGGAAAGTACTTTCTTTCTTAAGTCCTGACTTCTGAATCATCTTGGAAGTTGCTTACCCACAAGGATCATTGCCTTTGTTACAAAGGATCATTAAATCAGGTTTGTTCTTTTACTTACTGCAGTCGGAGGACAACAGCACACCTGAACCAAAGGAAAATGGAGAAGGCTGTCATCAGAATGGTCTTTCTCTCCCTGTAGTAGAAGAAGGGGAAGTCCTCTCACACTCTCTGGAAGCAGAGCACAGGTAAGAATGAGATCACAGGGGATTCTGTGTGTACCCTTGAACATATTTAAGAAAAGGTCTTAGAACAGTCTGGCATGCAGAGAGAAGTCCCATAATCACCACAACCTGTTGTCTCCAGGATTGACCTGTTAAGCCTACTGGTCATCCTTTCATAGGCTTAAATTTTTCCCACAATCTCTTCTCCTCCTCTTACCTTTTCCCCCCCTCTTTTAAAAATATTTCAAAAGCAGAACTTTCATCCACTGGTTCACTCCCCAGATGCCTGTGAATAGCCAGGATTGGACTCTTGTCTCCCTTCTGGATGTCAGAGGGGCCCCAAGTACTTGAGCCATTTTTCCACTACCTTTCTTGGTACATTAGCAGGAAGCTGGATTAGAAGCAGAGTAGCCAGGATACAAATCAACACGCCAGTATGGAGTGCCAGTGTTCAAGTGCCAGTTCAGTATGCCACACCGCAATGCTTGCCCTTTTCAAGTAGCTTAATTTCTGGCTCAGTTTATGCCTTCTGCCAAGAGAAGGTCAGAAAAAGGAATCTGGGACTCTGTGCCCTCCTAGTATAAGCCATCCCATACATTTTATCTTGGTTAAATGAAGACTTTGAACAAAGAGTGTTCAGATGTGTGGGCAGTGAGTGGAGCTGGCAAATACAGTTGTGCCTTCCTTGAAACAGGCTGCTGAACAGCAGGACTTTCACGGCCAGGTCAGTCAGATTATGAGAGATTGTATAATGTCATCTATTTAAGAGAATATTGGCTTGGCTGGCACAGTAGCCTAGTGGCTAAAGTCCTCGCCTTGCACACATCCAGGATCCCACATCAGTGCTGGTTTGTGTCCCAGTGGCCCCGCCTTCCATCCACCTCCCTGCTTGTGGCCTGGGAAAGCAGTAGAGAATGGCCTAAAGCCTTGGGACTCTGCACCTGTGTGAGAGACCCGGTGGAGTCTCCTGGCTTCAGATCGGCTCTGCTCCAGCTGTTGTGGCCACTTTGGAAGTGAATCAGTGGACGGAAGATCTTCCTCTCTATCTCTCCTCTTCTTTGTATATCTTACTTTCCGATAAAAATAAATAAATCTTTAAAAACAAAAAAGGAATTTGGGTGCATGTGGAAGTAGATTATTAAGCTTACAAGTAGCACTAGTGAGATTTCTTTCTCTGTTGTAACCCATGTGAAAAATGATCTGGTAGATTCTGTTTTCTGGTTGGTTGGTTTAAATAGCTGTTGTTCTCAACTGTGGAGATCCCCCTAATTCAGGGGTGAGGATCATCAGTATCATTTGTTTTGGCCCTGCCAAGGCAACCACAGGAGAAACTAGTCAAAATTCAATACGTCAAAAGCAGGCTCAGTTTTTTTAAGTTGACAGCTTTGTTATGGCCTATGAATGATGGGAATGTTTATATGCCCCTTAGCAGATAAGAGGTTCCACACCCTTGAAATTACAAGCACCGAAGTAGCCATAATTAATGCTTCTCCCACTGAGAAGTTAAAGTGTTTGTTTTTCTAATATCCATTGTCCTGGAAAGAAGAATTATTTTTTGGAAATTGTTGGCTGCTCTTCAGGGTTAACAGTCTTTCTTTGCCTTTGCCTCCACCAGGTTACTGAAAGCAATGGGATGGCAGGAATATCCTGAAAATGATGAAAGTTGCCTTCCTCTAACGGAAGATGAACTCAAAGAGTTCCACATGAAGACAGAGCAGGTATGTCGTAGAGTTCATTAACTGTAGAGAGAAGGGAGTTAAGAAGTACAGTTGTTAGCCTTAAGGACCCATAACATTTTTCTGAGAGAAAGACCTTGAAAAAGAATATGTAACTTGTCAAAGTGGAAATACAGAAATTGCTTGGCATGGCGTCTCCACTGGTACATAGAAAAATCAGTGAGCTAAAGGTCTCGGAGCAAAAAGTAGTGCATTGTTTTGTCCTCATAGCGCTAGCCCCTTGAGGAACCACAAGGCTGTCTCCATGAGTTAGAGTCTCAGCTTCAGGAAAATGGGCTCATCTGCCAGCTCTGCTTCAAGCCCTGTAATTTTCTGCTGGCACTCTGGTCAGCATGTGAATTTATTCAAAAAAATGTTTGGATTTTTTGTCATGGTAAGCACTCCCAGATCCTAAGAACTACAACATTGAATGTGACAAATGGGATCTATATAAACCACCTTGACTGGCAACTGTTTAAAGCAGAAATTACAGTTGGTAAGTCCTTTACAGTGCCATGAAACCCTGCCACTTAAGGCTCTGGGAGCACTGGGCCCGGCGTGGTGGCGCAAGTGGTTAAAGGTCCTCGCCTTGCACGCCCGGGATCCCATATGGGCGCCGGTTCTAATCCCGGCAGCCCCACTTCCCTTCCAGCTCCCTGCCTGTGGCCTGGGAAAGCAGTCGAGGACGGCCCAAAAGCTTTGGGAACCTTCTCCCGCGTGGGAGACCCGGAAGAGGCTCCTGGCTTCGGATCGGCATAGTGTCGGCCCGTTGCGCTCACTTGGGAAGTGAATCATCGGATGGAAGATCTTCCTCTCTGTCTCTCCTCTCTGTATATCCGCCTTTCCAATAAAAAAAATAATAAAAATAAAATCTTTAAAAAAAAAAAGAAATAGGGAGCACTAAACCCCACCCTTGACCTTCTGAGATCAAGAATCAGCATGTTTTTGAAGAGACTCATGATGTTTGCAGATTAAAATTTGAGCATCACTGCTCTTCTCTCACAGCCTGTTTTGCTTCACATTGAGTTGGGGTCTGGGCTGTCCCAGTTGCCATGAGCCAGTGTAGTTAATGATGGATTTTTATTTTTTCCTGTGCAATGCTACTAACCACAGCTAAGAAGAAATGGCTTTAGGAAAAATGGTTTCCTGCGGAGTCGCAGTTCCTGCCTCTTCTCCCCTTGGAGGAGCACTGGTAAAGCAGAGGTGGAGGACTCCGACACAGAGACCAGTAGCAGCGAAACATCAGATGACGATGCCTGGAAGTAGACATGCAGATACTCACGGTTACATCTGACCCAACAACCTCGGCTTGTGTGTTGAGGGAGTGTACGAGAGATTGCTCTTTTCCTTTCCTTACCTTTTTATTGAATTCATGCACAAGGGAAATAATCAACCCAAAGAGAAAGCGATTGGCTTGTTTAGCTTTTGTTGTTGTTTTCCATGTTATCTGCTTAATAGAAAGAGGTTGGGGGGTGAAGATTTGTACAATGTATGTATGCACACCCCCCCAGTACATGTGGGGCAATGCACAGGTGGGAGCTGGCAGTGTGGGGAGGCAGGGCAGCCCCTGGTCTGCAGCAGCAGCTTTGCTCCAGCCCTGGGGCGCTCACTCTGTGCTCAAGCAATCATTGTCAATGACAAAGTGACTATTGAAGTTATAATTGTATTAAATTAATGCTAATAATTTGGATATTTTATTTTATTTTTGGCTGCTCGGGTAACTTAGCCCTTAACCAAGCATATGTGGTTTTTTTTGTTGTTGTGTTTTTTTGTTTTGTTTTTCATTTTACTTTTTGGGTACAGTTGTAAAATATTTGGATATAGGAAATGTGTTATTCTTGCAGCCTTGATATTCAGGGTGGATTGTAAAATATAAATTTTTGTGAGATTTCAAAGATTAAGATTATTTTGATAACATTATTTACAGATTTAAAAGATGTGGTTATCACAAGTCTGTTGAGGGGAAAAACTACTGCATAAAATAACTAACTTGGAATAAATATTTTGCATCAGTTTGGATTGTCATGTGTAAGAGAAGTGTTTTCTTTAAAATTAGATGTGGATTCCGTTTTAGGGAAAATAATGTCTATGGTGTCTGGGGAGATCTGAATTCAGATACACCTCTTTCCTTTTAGGAGACATTTTTCTATGCAGAATTAAGTGTTTAGCAACTAATTTTCCTTCCTGAACCCATTCCTCATTGATTACTAGAAGGCGTATATATATATACACACACACACACACACGCACACACACATACATATATACGGATTCACTGTTTATTAGAGAGGCAGAGGAACAGAGACTGAGAGATCTTCCATCTACTGGTTCACTTTCCAGATGGTCACAACAGCTGGAGCTGAACTGATCCAAAGCCAGGAGCAGCTTCTGGGTCTCCCACATGGATGCAAAACTCCAAGAACTTGACTATCTTCTGCTGCTTTAAAGCAGAAAGCTGGATCAGAAGTGGAATAGCTGGGACTTAAATCAGCCCCATAGGTGGAAACTAAGTCTACTATGCCATGGTGCCAACCCCTGGTGGCCATATTTTAAGGATGGTCTATATCCAATAAGTTAGTTTTCCCACTAACAGGAGAAAATGCTTGAGCCAGTGCTGCTTGGACTGCCAGTGAAGGGAACAGTTTTATTCATTCCACAAACACTCCTGAAGCCCCTTTAGCATGTACCCAGCACTGTGCAAGGACTGCCCAGTATTCTATAAGAGGAGACAAACAGTAGTTAACATTAAACAGCTGTTAACATTAGCAGAGCAAAAACTTCAGGTCAAGATCCCATTGACAAAGACCAATTTTTAACCAAGCAACATCGGGGACTGGCTGTGCCTCTGCTAATTACTCCCTAAAGGATGCAGAGCAGCAAGATCCTGATCTGATGGGAGATCAGCTGAGGTTTAAGATGCTTGTGGAATGTCAGGAAGATAAAGTAGTAACAGGGTGTAGTCTCTGAAACAGAGGGAACTGACAGGACACTGGATTCACTGGATTCCCAGGGCCGGGATGGCCGACTTCTGTAATGCAGTATGACTTCCTGTGGCTGATGATGTAACTAGTCATGTGCCAGCCAACCAGCGCTGGTAAGTTGAGGTGGAACAGTCAGAGGGAATTTATTTGTTGAAGGAAAAATGGCATCTATTTTCCCCGTATGAATTTCCATGTATGAGAGCTCCCACCTGGTGACCCAACCCAAGGCTTCCATGTGGGTGGCAGAACTCAGCTGTTCCAGCTGTGGCATCCGCTTCCTGCCAGCATCTGCAGTAATAAGCTGAAATTGGGAAGCACATGTTGGCCTTGACCTCAACCTGACACTCCCATTTGGAATACAGGTGTTTCAAACTAATGCTTAACCACTAAGCCTCTCTCCCAAGATGACAACTCTTTAAGGGTTATTTACTTTAAAAATCAAAAAGAGAGGGCTCGGGGCAGTAGCCTAGCAGCTAAAGTCCTTGCCTTGCACATGCCAGGATTCCATATGGGCTCCAGTTCTAATCCCAGCAGCCCCACTTCCCATCCAGCTCCCTGCCTCTGGTCATAAATCTTAAAAAAAAAAGAAAGAAAAAGAAAAAGAGAATGTACTCACCCATCTGCTGGTTCACTCCCCAAATGTCCACGCTAGGAATATAGGGCTGGGCACTGGCCTCCGACATAATGCAAGGGATTTTTTTTTAAGTCACCACTTACCACCCTCCCTCCCATGTCGGAGTGCTCCTTCATGGTCTGCATGCTGAGATTCTAATCATCTACTACTAATGCGCCTGGAATGGCAGGTTGCACCTACATGGGAGACCCAAATGGAATACCTGCTCCTGGCCACCACCTGACCCAGTCCTGGCTGTTGTGGCCATTTGGGACATGACAAAGTGGTTAAAAGATTCCTGTCCCAGGCCCAGCACGATAGCGTAGTGGTTAAAGTCCTCACCTTACACGCGCAGGATCCCATATGGGTGCCGGTTTTAATCCCGGTGGCCCCACTTCCCATCCAGCTCCCTGCTTGTGGCCCGGGAAAGCAGTCAAGGACAGCCCAAAGGCTTGGGACCCTGCACCTGCATGGGAGATTCGTAAAGAAGTTCCTGGCTCCTGGCTTCGGATTGACTCAGCTCTAGCCGTTGCAGCTGCTTGGGAAATGAACCATCGAACGGAAGATCTTCCTGTCTGTCTCTCTTCCTCTGTATATATCTGCCTTTCCAATAAAAATTAATTAATCTTAAAAAAAAAGATTCCTGTCTCCCCCCTAGGCCTGCCTCAGTTGCTCTTGCCTTCCAAGGCATAACAAACAACAACAAACAGTGCTGTTTGAAACTTGGCCACCAGGAAAAAGCCTGGCTGGCCCCTGTCACGCTTGAGTTCCTTCTGTACTTGATTGCCAAATCTGATAGCTTCATTTTGTCCTCACACAGCTTTCATTCCTTGGGCTATGCTGGCTCTGGGAGTGAGGTTAGAGCCCACTGTCCCTGCCGTGACGTGGCCTGTGGCAGGAGTTGTGGTTGCATTGGGAGGGGACTTGTTGCTGGGAAAAGCTTTTCAGCCTGGGGGAAAAGTTGAGACCCTGGGCTGGAGAGCGGCATTGTGTTCTGTCCGCTGGTGGCAGCCCAGCAATGCCCAAGGTCAGGGAGGCCTTCCCAGACCAGTGAGGCGTAAGTGGAAAGGGCTGAGGGAGTCCTGGAGGCCTCCTGTGTAAACAGAAATGGACCAACCAAGCACACAGTGACATGGGGACAGGCTCCCGGACACTTGGTTCCAGCACTGGGCTTGTCCCTGAGGCGGCTGCCCCGCCCGGCTGCCCTGTCCCAGCCTGCAGTTGCTACCCAGGGGACGCGGCTCCTCCCCAAACAAACGCCCGTCTGGGCCTCGCCTGCCCACCGCTCGCTCACGCCGCGAGACGCGTCCCCTTCTATGGCATCCGTCTCTGGGGAGCCAGGGCTCCTGCCCTGCAGGTCTTGTGACATGGTTTTCCGCTCTTGGACCTTGCTGGACAACCACGCTCGGCGCTTCTGCATCGGTCGCCTAACCGGGGAGCTGACGCTTGGAGCCCAGCCCTCCGCGGCTAGCCAGGACCCGGGCGCCGAGGTAAGGCCCTCCTCCGCCCTGGGACCGTGCACCGAAGCCGCTGGGTTTTCTGCAGGACTTCTTTCGCTACACCCTGTCCCCAGACGGTGTCCCAAGAACTTCAGGGCCAGCAGGAGACCAGCACATCTGCACTACGGAAGTTAACGGAGCAGGTAGTCACCCAGCTGTCCCCCTGGCTCTTCGGCGCCCTCCCCACACCTGTAGGCCATTCAGGGACAGGTCACCCCATCCCAGAAGCCGCGGATCCGTGTCAACCCCCCTACAGAATATGCCACCCGCGGGGCCTCAGGACTCCACCGGCGAGGCTCCGGGAAGCCCGGGCGAGCGGCTGCGGGCACTGCAGAGAGCTCGCGCCCAGCGCCTGGCGGAGACGGAAGCGCAGCGACGGGCCCTGGAGCGGCGCGGCCAGGGTGAGCGAGAGCCGGAGGACAGCGGTCAGCCCCGGCCCTCGGCCTCAGGTTTCCTCGGACCCGTTCGGGAACTCGTCCTCTTCCTCCCTCAGAACTGAGCCTGCGTCTCCGAGGCGCAGCCCGGAGCCAGGGCGGGACATCACGCCTATCCGGCCTGGAACGGGAACTTCGAGAACTCCGGTCGGAGGCAGGGCGGACGCGAGGAGCGCTCGAGACCCTGGGCGCGCGCGTTGAGGAGCTGCAGGCGCCGCGTGGGTGAGGGAGACCGGGAGCCCGAGCGCCATCGGCGGCCGCGGGGCGGGGCGGGGTCGTGACGTTGGTGCCGGGGCGGGGCCGTGACGTCAGCGCCGCGCGCCGCGCGCCGCCCCCCGCCGCAGGAGTCGTCGGCCTGCCTGGTGGGAAGCGGAGCTGTGCGGTCCCGCGCTTCCCGTCGCCTTCCCGGCAACTCTGACTGCTGAGATTGGGTGAGGACAGGCGCCCTAACGGGCAAGGGACGAGGCGCCGGGCAAGGGACGAAAGCGCCCCCCGCCCCATTTCTGTCCCTGTCTCTCCGCTCCAACTTAGAGCCCTGCGTGAGGCCTACCTTCGAGGTGGGGGGCGCGACCCTGGCATTCTGGGCCAGATATGGCAGTTGCAGGTGGAGGCGTCAGCCCTGGAGCTGCGACGGTCGCGGATCCGCAGGCGGGAACAGGATGGGCCAGCCCGGAGAGCGTCTGGCGGCGGTGGTCTTAGTCCTGGGGGTTTGAGGGCCGTGGGAATGGGCGTCCCTCGCCCCAGAGCTACCTATGCGTGAAGGTCCCAAAGTGGGAGACTGGGTGGTCAGTAGCTGGGACGTGAGGCGGTAAGCCAAAGAGCCCCAGTGTTGTCTAGCAGCTCGCAGCCAGACTCGGAGGGTCCCCAAAGGTCAGGGGTGATAGGTCACACCTGTTCATTCCAGGAAAGGCAGCTGCTGCTTCGGGGGAGCTTCTAGTGGTGGAGGCGGAGAACCGGCGGCTGGAGGCAGAAATCCTGGCCTTGCAGATGCGGAGGGGCCTGGCTTGGGTACCCCAGGGTTAGTAAGCAACCCAGTGCCCATCCCACCTTGCCTTGCTAGGCATGCCCAGCTCAGAGTGCCTGAGAAATGAATGAGACCCACAACTGTGCCCTGTTCCTGTATGTCCACACGCATCCGTGTGAGTGTGTATACCTGAAACTGGATGCCCATCTGTGGGCTTGACTCTCAGAGGAGGGTTGGTCTGCCTTGGGGAACCCCAACTCTTCCTCTGCTTCCAGGGCCACAAGAGGTGCCTTCTCTGTCTGGTCCCAGTGCACCCCTAAAGGGAAGGAGAGAACCCCCAATCCTCCCACCACCTCCACTTCCAGGCTGCACGGACATCCAGGGCAAGGCTGTGAGGCCCCGGGCTGGGCAGGACAGCTTATGGTGTGCAGTGGGGAGCACTCCAGAAGCTTTCTGGAGGAGTCAGCTCTTTTCTCTACAGCAGCAGTTTGCTGGAAGCATACCGGGGAGCCTGGTCCTGAACCCACATTTCCTCCTGCCTGCACGTGATGCCCTGGACCCTGCACCCTATGACCCAGGGTGAGGCCTGCTCCTTGCTTGGGCATCCTCAGGGAGTGGCCACACCTCCAGTTAAGGGGACCCCCAGCATCAGCTAGGGTTGGGGTGCTCTGTGGGAGAGGAGGGCTATGTAGACATGTACTCACTTGTGTCCCCAGGGCTGGTCTGGTTGTTTTCTATGACTTCCTGCGGGGACTTGAAGCTTCTTGGATTTGGGTGCAGCTGCTGACTGGCTTGTCCCAAGATGGACATGATGCAAGAGGGACAACAGCGTTACCCCCTGCCCTTTGCCTGCCCTCGCCACCTTCAGCTTCTGGACCTGTGGGCAACTGTGCCATTCTGGCCAGCAGGCAGCCTGTGCCCAGGTCGGTGGGTATCCTGTTTTGGGCAGTCTTTGCCACAACTGAGATTTGCTTATCCCTCATCCTGCTTAAGTTTCTCATCTGTTGGTTCTGAGTTCCGAGTCCCAGAAGGGACTGTGACTCTGGCTTCCAATCCCTTTGGTCATTCTGCAGACTTCTACCCTCACCAGCTGTTTCCTTGGTCTGTGAGCTGCAGGCCTGGCAAGGGCTGGCAGGAGCTGGGGCACCACAGCCAAAGGCTTGGACCTCTCTGGTACTATTTGATCGAGCTCAACGGGTGTTAAGTGGCCGCTGGCGCCTCCCGCTTCAGGCCCTTCCCCTGGACTCCAGTCTTAGCTCTGGGCAGCCAATTGAGATTCCCCAGGTAAGTGCGGGGAATGGGGGTTACAGCTCTTCCTTCCAGGTACTTAAGTACTAGCACAATTTGCCTTCCCCCCAGGCAGTTCATGCTGAGCTGTTTGTGCGGCTGGTGAACGCAAGGGATGCTGATGTTCAGACACTGGCAGTCATCGATCCCTCATGTGCTCACGAATACCAATACCCACCACTGGTGAGACCCCAGCCAGAGCTAGGGACAGCTTTATTGACTACTGGGTGCCAATAAGTACTCATGGAAATAAAGCCAGATGAGGTGGACTGGGTTCACAGTATGTAGTTTAGTCTGAACCTGTGCTCTCCCAGCTGCAGTGTTGCTAAGACCTGCCCGCTCATGTTCCACAGGGGTCCATCTCACCTTCACTGAAAGGCAACCCCCTCCGCCCTGAGGCTGCATTTGCTGACCCTGCACCTCCTGCGGAAGAGCCCCAGGGTGGAGTTGAGCCCTCATCAGTGTTTTGACCCACCCTGACTGGGCTCCTGGCTCTAGCTTGAGGCCTGTTCTCAGATGGGGGTTTGTTACCCACGGGGTCCAGGGACCTCATAAGTGGTCTCCAAAAACGTAGTGAGGAAAAAATTTACCAAAAAACTATGTATGGATTCCACAAAATATGCTTGCACCCAAATTAAAGTTCATTTTCCCCATGAAAATCTTAAGTTTCTGCATACACTATTCCAGGTTAGGGCCACAGCCCATGGCAGTTCCTTTCTCGAGGGGACAGATATGGGACACGTGACAGACTTGTCTGCTGCTTAGGAAGCATGTACGTCATGATTGTTCTGACCAGAAAACAGATGGAAAAGCCGAGAACCTGGAATACACAATTGATCTTCAGAAAATTCATAGGCCAAATTCTACAAATCCGACTTATAAGTCTGACCATTTTGTGTTAAAATTGAGAACATACTGACTTGCAATATCAGCACTGGAAGTTAGCAGGTTCAGCTGTAGCAGAGTAGGCCCACAAGTGTCAAAATTTCTAAATTATAGGTATAGGCAGATTCTGGTAAGTGGGTTAAGCCATGGTCTAGAGTGCCTGTGTCAGTGGTGTTTCCTCTACTTCCAGTCCTGGGAGGCAGCAGATAGATGGCTCAGGTTCTTGGGCTCACACCAGCCGTAAAGATGGTCCTGGCTTTGGTCTGGTGCAGCTTTAGCAAGAACTTTTAATGAGCAAATGGAAATTTTGTCTCATTGTATAGGCATATTTTATGGAAAATAGTCTGTATGGAAAAGGATAGAAAGTCTGGTATCTGATGGTGAAACAAGTAGGATTGCCTGATGAACCAAGCAGCAGAAAAATAGCGCAGCTAAGCCTAACTCTGACTTACATATCCAACCCTCTTCCAAGGCCATGTCCCCAGTGACCTAAGGGTCTTCTGGGCCACCTCCTGAATATCTTGATCAGGCAAAATCTACTATCCATCAATGGCTTTGTGGAATAAAGGTCTACATAATTTGGGGAATTAAATCGTATTTACACTACATCAAGGTCAGATCAAGGTCAGAGTGGAGTAGGAATTCTGGTGTACTTCCCCAAGTAACCAAAACGGCCAGAAAGCTGAGCTGGTCCAGAGCCAGGAGCTTCTTTTGGGTATGCCACATGGTCGTGAGATCCCAACAACTCTAGACCATCCTCTGGTGCAGGATGGGAAATGGAACAGCAGCAGGGGAACCAGTCATGTGGGATGCCAGCACCACTGCACCAGTCCCCATTATTGTGCCTCTCAATAATGAAGCACACCCAAATTGTGCCTAGTCCTTACCAGGCTATTTAAGGCTTAAATCTAAGGCAACTTGGTTTGGCACGTTACACAGATTCCCAGAATTTCAACCTTGCATCCCATACTGAAATCTTCCAGTAGCCTAAAACCACACAAATGGAATCTTCAAACACAATACCAAATCAGCTTTTTAACATCTTTATTCGAGAAGTCAAATCTGCAGACAGGTAACAAATCCAAGTATTGACACATTTCAACTTTTTTATACAGAAAATAGTATAACTCGGCCTCCCTACAGGTTTTTCCAGTCACATCGTTAAGTGTCCATTGCCATTTTAAATCCTCTTTCAAACCAAAGTTCAGTTTTCCAATATTTAACAGTGATTCCTCAGGGAAAAGCCCCCTTAAGTCTTCTTCAGAGTTCTTTCTCCAGGTCAGGATCTCGGCCCTAGTTGCAGACTTAGGGAAGTAGGTAGGAAACAAGTGTCCCTCAAGGCCTGGTGCAAAGTCAAAGTCCAACATTCACTTTCAGCACCCCAATGGCAGATGCTCTCTCCAGGTTTTGTGTAGCTCCCAGCCAGGGACAGCACCACTGAGGGCTTGCAAGAGAGCCAAATTCAGTCCAGTATTTGGTAGAAAGAAATATAGCACCGCTGGAAGACAAAGGACCTGCAGCCGACCTACATGCTGGGCAGCCACTTCCAAAATACAAGAACCTCTGGAGTGCCCCAAGGCAGGTTTAGCTTAATATTTAAGAAAAACAAACAAAATACAATGCTTCATCCTTTGCTTACAATCTTTATTGAAGTTATACAAAAAGAATCCCCCAAAAGTGAAAAAATACATTATGTACAAAAAACACTTTGCCGTGAAGGAAGGCTCCGCACCCTCTTAGCATGCAGTGCTTTCAACTGTGGCTCCAGCCTCCACTGTCCCCTCCATTGCTGCTCGGCTTTCGGGTCGATTCTCGGGCTGAAAAACAGGAAGCCTGGGGATAAGTGACCCTAGCCCAATTCATTCTTTCACAACTGAGCAGGCCTGTCAGAGGAAGTCAACGCAGACCATCAAACCTTGCTGTGCTCCCTGGACAGATGGCTGGCAGTGACCACAAAATAAGAGATCAATTCCTGTACTCTATGGGAGCAATCTATTGGTCTTGCCAATTAAGTGTCCTCTCATAGGTTTACAGACAGGAACCTACATAGGTCCCATTTGTCAGTGGAGCCTAGACTCCAAAACCAATTTCCTGCACAATTGTTATTTCTGTAAGGGTTGCACTCAAACAAGAAAAACAGGCTCACACATTTGGGAGGACAATTTACCCAAGAGGCCAAGGCCCGTTTAACTGCCCACCTCCTCCACATTTTCCGAAACTTCATTTCCACTGGGGACTGCTGCATCCCCGCTGCCTCCGTTCACTTCCGGCTCCTGTTTGGCTTTTTTTGCATCATCTTTCCGGGGGCTCTCTTCCTCAGGTTTCCTCTAAAGACAGAATTGTGAAGGCTTGATAAATGTGTTTTGTTTTTTAAAACAACTGCAAAAAACTTAACCCACGAGTTAAGATTCTGAACACCAGGACACACAGCCCTAATGTTCCTCCTCCCTCTCGCCCTAGCCACTCCACACTCTACAACAGATTGATTCAGACTCCCGCCCAGCGGGCAGGAGGTTGAGAAGCAGATGTTAACAGCAACCCAAATACAAGCCTGAATGACCAAATTTGAGTAGAAACTACTGGGATTACAGTCAGAAGCCTGACTCAACAGGGGCTTTACATGACAATAGCCGAATGACTATTGTCAAAGAACATCCACCAACCTCATCTGACCAATCTCCCAAAGAAGCTTTCCTAATACTCCCAGTGCTAAGAAAACCCACAACATGTACTCAAATGGAAAAACTTGTTTTCACTCCACAAATAAGTCTTACTGCATCTATTTAGGAAATCCTAAATCACTTGGAAAAGACTGGGGAAAAAACCCCACTCTACGTATACTTACTTACCTTCTTTCTAACAAGGTGGGAAATATCGGTCACACAACTTGATGAAGAAGCACCATCTGTTGGCTTTCTACTGGCAATCTGGCAGAAAGAAAAAAGCCCAGGTTAGCAATGTCTCAACTATATGAGACCAACACTAAGGCTAAAGTGACCAAAATCCACTTGAATACGCACCATGGAGACTGAAGAGCTTCCTCCACTTGAAGTGAATCCTGAATTAGAGCTCCCCACCTGTGGGAAAAACAACTCCCGAGGGTCAGGGTAGAGGTGGTTCCAGGAACTCAGTTTTACAGCAGGTACAGAGCATCCTAACACCTGAACAAGCCCTGATGTACTAGTAGGTCCAGACATAGACACAAAACCCACCTCATTTATACCTCCCGACCTGTCACTCAGGACACAGGTAAAAAAATTCCTGATATCTCAGCAGCCAAACAAAAGCCAGAAGCAGAGGCCTGAGATGGAAACAACAGCTGATATTTGTTAATCACAATTTTTCTGGAGGTGTCCCAAGTATGTTACAGATACCATTATTGGTCCACTTTCACCTGGGTAAATGTGCAGATCTAATTTGAACTCAACTTGTTCCAGAACGTATTGTATTCTTTCAAACAATTCCCAATTTCACAGGAATGATTAATTTGATGAATGTTCACATTTCTTCTGTTCATCAACTCTCTCAGAAGCCAAGTCATGTTTTCAGTAGGCTAAGCTGTTGCCAACAGTGTCAGCATCCCACAAGGATACCAGCTCATGTACTGGCTCCACTTTTGATCTAGAACTAATGCCCTGGGAAAGTGCTGGAAGATTGCCCAAGTCCCTTTCACTGGGTTGGAGGACCATATAAAGCTCCTGACTCCTGGCTTCAGCCTGGCACAGACATGGCTATTTGGGGAGTGTACCTGCAGATGAAAGACCTATCTATTGTTCTCCCTTTCAAAGAGAAGGGTAAAGGAGGGAACGCGGCGCAGATCTGAACTGACCAGAGCAGCTTTTAAAGCCAATTCAGCTACATTCCCACTACGCTGAGATTCCTTTGCATCTTCTATCTTCTCTCTGATTTCAGGCAGCAGTTCTTTGAGCTCCTCAATTTCTTTCTCATATTCAGCAGGTGATCCTTCAGCCTCCTTCATCTGCTCATTGAGCACAGCTATAAAGAACAGGTTAACATGATGAGTAATCACCACCACAAAAAAATTTTAACTTCATCCATTCCTGAAGCCACCAGCACAGAAGCAGCTATTGCTCACTCACCCATTCTCTTCTCAATGACTTCAATAGATCTGCTGAACTGTTCCACTGCTTCATCATACTGAGAGTTATATGCGTAAGCCAACCCCAGCTGGTAGTGGGTCTCTGCAAGGAGCCGGTCATGGGCTTCCAGATACTGTTCTTGCAGGTTCAGGCAAGCCTGGAACTCTTCTATAGCTTGAATGTAATTTTCTAATTAAGAGAACACCAAGTAAATGGATATTTAATCAGTGCTTCCACAGCCCAGACCCATTCTGCAAGAATGTTCTCCCATTTAAACGATCAATGACTTTCTGTGTCTTTACAACACAGTCCCTGCAGGTGAGCTCAAAAACAGGAAAAGGACAGCTCAGACCAAGCTAGATTACAGTACCCACTGGCATACATGTGGCTCTGATCTGGGGGCAGGCCAAGCTGGGCCATTTCATAACACCTACCAGCAAATCTGAGAACCAGGGTGAGGGCCTGTTCTACGTTAGGCAGCAGTACCCACCAATGCAAGGTAAGGAGGGGGGGTGGACGGACAGAGAAGGCTAGGCCAGACAAATGCTGAGGTGAAATGGGTCATGCCAGACTGGGGCCGCAGTGCCCACCAGCACACACAAGATCTGGTAGAGGTTGTAATCCTAGTAGGGGAGTTGTGACAAACTTTCCTGCTGAGTCACTGCTCCTGCTGGTGAGAACGGAGACTGGGGGAAGACCAGGATGGGCAGTGCTACAACATGTGCTGGCCTGAACGTGAATTGGGTTGGTGGAAAGCTAGGTTAACTGTCTATATATCCACTGGTACAGGCATGAGCCAGAATGGGAGCAGGCTAGTTGGGCTTTGTCACAGCATCAACTGGCAGGTGCTAGGAAAGGGAACAAGTAGGTTCTGTCGAGCTAGACTGCAGAACCACCCAAAGAGGAGTGCAAGATCCAGGTCTAAGAGTGGGCCCCCTAGGAAAACTATGACAACCATGTGAACCAAGACTGGAGGCGGGCCTAGCTAGACAGGCAGTGCACCCGCTGGCATGTGTGTGGGCTGAAGATGGAGTTGGCTAGGATAAGTGAAGCCCCAATGTCCAATTATGTGTACAAGAACTGAATAAGAGGTGGGACAGACCAGACTAGATCACTGCACATGCTGGCAGACACAGAAACCAGGGCTGGGGGCCAGCTCAGTGGGAATCATTGGGAGTCACTCTGACTGGACTGCAGCTCCCAAAGGTGTACATGAGGGCCTACTGTGTGGAGGGCAGGGTTGGGCTGGGCCCCAGCACCCACTGGTTTCCATAAGAAATGGGGCTGGAGATAGATCTGACCTAGCAATTGCAATTACCAATGTGGACATAGGCTGATGCGGGTGAAATAACCAACTAGACCCTGTACAGGTGGGTATGCACAAACAAGAGATAGGTCTGAGATCACCTTGGACGAGATTGCTTTGAGG